GGGCTAGGAAGGGACTAGCCACATCCCCACGATCCCAGAGCTGAGTGACATGTCCGTGGCCAGGCAATGGGCCAGTGGCAGGGCTAGGAAGGGACTAGCCACATCCCCACGATCCCAGAGCTGAGTGACATGTCCGTGGCCAGGCAATGGGCCAGTGGCAGGGCTAGGAAGGGACTAGCCACATCCCCGCGATCCCAGAGCGGAGTGACGTGTCCGTGGCCAGGCAATGGGCCAGTGGCAGGGCTAGGAAGGGACTAGCGCCCAGCTCTCTGGAGTCCCAGCCCAGGGCCCTTTGCGTGGCAGAGCGATTGTCCCCATTCTTCTCTCTCCAATGCCTCACGCACCTTAACAGGGTCTTTCGCCTTCGGCCATGGCTGCCCAGGGCGCAGACGGTGTCGCACGGGACAGCCAGGGCTCTCCCCGGAGCGGAGTGGGGGAGTTTCTCCCCTGCCCCGGGCACCCAGCGGCACCTGTCAGCGGGCTGCTCGGGGCCGGGGCCGGCGGGGCTCGCTCGGGATATGACCTCACCCGCTGCCCAGCGGCGGCCTCTGCCAACTCCCTCCCCCGCCCCAGACGCGGCCGGCAGCGCGCCAGCGCCTCCGCGGGACCGGGCGCGCCAGCTCCGCCCGGACCCGCCCCCCGCCGGTGCCAGGGCCCCCAGGCCTGTCACCGCCCCGGCCCGCGGCTGGCCCGGGCGAGCCCGCCCGGGAGCGAGCCGCTCGGGACAGGCCGGCAGCAGTCCGGGGGAGGGGGCGGGGACCCGGCTCGCCGGGCGCGGGCCGCCTCACTCACTCACTCACCCCTACACTCGGCGGGGCCCGCTGGCTCCGACCGTCCCCTCAGCGCAGCCGGGCCGGTCCCTTTAAATCCAGGTCGCTCGCCTCAGCCCGGCGGCCGCTTCCACAATGCCCCGCGGGGAGGCGGGGGTTCCCTGGGGCACGTAACGTGCCCCTAGCAACCGCCCCGCCCCCCGCCCTGCCAGGCCGTTCTGACAGGCCCCCCCTCAGCCGCGCGAAGGCTGGGCCCGTCCGTTGGGCGCGCGCCCCGCTGCGCTGGGGGCCGGGTAACCGCGCGCGCCCGCGCGCGCGGCCTGGTGCAGAGCCGCTCCCTGCGGGCGGGGCGCGCGCTGTGGGGATGCGCTGGTCCCTTGCCCCGGTGAGAACCCGGCCAGGCCGAGGGCCAGCTGGGCTGCCAGCTCCCTGGGGTCCTGAGGCCTGGCCACGCGGCCCTCGGGCAGGGGCGCTGGTGGGGGGTGTCTAGTGGGGGTCCTGGGAACCAAAGTGTGACCCCTGTGTATGATGGAAACCCCTGCAAGCCAGGGAGTGCGGAGCCCCCCAGTGCCAGCACTGGTGCTGCCGGGGTGATATGTAACGAGGTGCAGCAAGCCACATAACATAGTTTGTGGGAAATAGCTCTCATCAAACACACGCGAGGGGGGTCTTGTTGAAGAGACAACAGACCCAGAGGACGGTACCGCTGGTGTGGACGGCGCTGATGGAAGTCCAAACGCGTCCTCTGATTGAGTCCCACGTGACACGGGTTTAAAATAAAGCACTATCTGTGAGGAATGTCGCTTCTATTGAATGGATTGAAAGCTGGCTGACTGATAGATCTCCAGAAGAAATTGTGAAGGAATCATTTCTAGGGGGTACCACACAGATCTGTTCTAGGCCTCATACTGCTTCATATTTTTATCAAAAAGAACAGGAGTAGTTGTGGCACCTGAGAGACTAACAAATGTAATTGAGCATAAGCTTTCGAGGGCTACAGCCCACTTCTTCGGATGCATATAGAGTGGAACATATATTGAGGAGATATATATATACACATACAGAGAGCATGAACAGGTGGGGAGTTGTCTTACCAGCTCTGAGAGGCCAATTAAGTAAGTGGGAAAAAAACTTTTGAAGTGATAATCAAGATAGCCCAGTACAGACAGTTTGATAAGAAGTGTGAGAGTACTTACATGGGGAGATAGATTCAATGTTTGTAATGGCTCAGCCATTCCCAGTCTCTATTTAAGCCTAAATTTATTGTATCTAATTTGCATATCAATTCAAGCCCAGCAGTTTCTTATTGGAGTCTGTTTTTGAAGCTTTTTTGTTGCAAAATTGCCACCCGCAGGTCTGTCATTGAGTGACCAGACAGGTTAAAATGTTCTCCTACTGGTTTTT